TTATTTGCATTTTCTATAATTTCATCTAAACTTTCTATATTGTGCAAATTGATATTAAATCCCATACTTTACTATATAAACCTATATCTTTAATCGAAAAAAATATTATTTCCCCTTATTCTATCGAACTGCGGGAGAGGGTATTTGCTATCCAACCCTTTTTTTAGAATCGAATAATAAAATGTTCAGCTATTATCTTTTCTATAACTAAATATTTATCGCATCAGGAAAAAAAATAAATTAAATATTTATCATGCCTGAACAAAATCTAAAATATTATATTAGCGCTGTAACTAGCATCTTTCTGCTTGCATATATGTGTCATTTACTAGACGACTAGATTGCCATTGCTCTGAGCATCTGTTCTATTTCATTATCTGACCTTTCGCGATTCTCTTCCTTGGCTATATCATAATAAAGCTCATATAATTCCTCTAGGCTAGCATACAGATCATTATCCATATACCTTTTTGTGATAATTTTCTAGCCTTATAGTGTATGCCTCTTCGTTAGAAAACATCTTGACTGCGACTGTTTTAATATAGTCATTTGGATTCTTTCAGCTCGCAATTTCTTTAGATAGTCTCCATAGTTTTTCGCAAGATTATCATATTTTTTGCCTTTTCGTAATGCAATTTTTATGACTTTGACTTGCGCAAGTTCTATATCCTTATGATCAATCATTTTTGTATTGTTTCTACTATAACGATAGAAAAACTTTAATTAATATAATTATATTTTTGATAATTTTTACCTTAAAAAATATTTGTTATAAAGCATCTATTCCCTAACTCGAAGTCTAACTTTCATAGCCTTTTCTTCTGCTTTCTCAGGAGATATTTCAGATGCTACTAGGCGTTTGTATAATCCAATTCGCCAATGTCCATATGGAAGAGTTCAAATTTCATCAAGTAATTCAGTGCTTGTTATCATATGGATTCAGCCCTATCTTATTTACCCTCTCCAGATATATTTGATGATCATAACTTCAGAGACCATACATATCATGCCAGGTTAGTTTCTTATTCCTAAGACATTCTAGGAACTTATCATGTCAAAGTTCCCTCTTAACCACACATTTCTTAACACCCTTTGCCTTCTGGATGCCATGTTTCTTTTTAGGGTCTTCTGAATTGGGATCATCAGGAGTTTTAGGATCATGACCTGTTGGAAGAACTGAATACATTTTTAGCTTTAAGCATACTGATTCGCCTATTGGATCTCCTTTTGTCTCATCCTTCATTAGAAATAAATCTCCTGAATAATTAAAATCGAAAATATCTAGTCTTTCTACTCAATCTTTATATATGTTGTTAACGGAGCAATTAACCAGTCATAATGAAGTTACGTGGATGACACAATATAACGATCTCTTAATCTAGAATTCTGAAAATACTGGGAATTCTGCAAATTCTAAAAATACGGAGGATCTACGTAATTCTGAAGATCTTCCAAATACTAATAATAATCATAATTTTACGAATTAAATGAAGTCTAAGAATATTTAGTATTATACGTATTTTTAATATTCTAAATTTTATTATTATTTTTATTTTATTTTATATTTTTATTATTTTATATATTCTCAATATATTTATTTTATTTATAGTTTATTTTGCCAAATTAGTTAGTTTATAGCATAGTAATTAGTTAACCGTGATGAAAGAAAGTTTGTATAAATAGATAGACTTTTTGCTTATGTTGTAAATTAACTCTTTTGCAGATTTGTAAACTCTTTTGCAAATACGAATTTCAATATTAATAAAGGAATCAGTTAAAACTTATATCTTTCTACCTCTTTGTATCTTTATATAGTCTGACGTGATCTCTACACATTATTTGTAATTGAGTTCATCATTCGGAATTCTTTAACTAAAATTGTTCATAACCTCGTCTTTCAAGTCTTCATACTTGATAGATTTGTTTAAGTTCAACATGTAGATTTAGTAAAGTTAAGAGTTAGGCGGATCTTAACATCTTGACCGCAGTAAGCCGTAGTTAAGAAATTTTGAGTAGAGATTTGATAACGTGACCACCTCAAGTTAAAGAATTCCACAGTGACAATATATATTATTTTATTTATTTTTAAAGTATGATCATAGGCAGTGATATTCATTTTTGATGTTTCAGAGATTTGTTATCCCAGCTATATATCCCAACCTGTCCCATACTATATCTCTAATATCTTATCCATCTTATCTATGTCCCATCAGTGTTCTATTAATGTCTCATTAATATTTCATAACAACACTGATCATAGGTATATGAATGATAAGTATTTTTTGTTTATTCATTTTATTTACATCGTTTACATATATTTCTAATTTAAGCATTTGTTTAAAATATAAATAGATGTTAATCATAATAATAACAAATAATTTTCTTTTAAACAAAAATGATTAAAATAAAAAAATTGAATGCTGAACAATATGAGGCAATTCTTTACAATTACAAATGAGAAGATTCATATCAAAAAACTGCTGACATTATTTAATGTGATAAAATAACTGTCTATGATTGATAAAATATTTTAAAGAAACTGGTTCTGTAATACTAAAAACATTGTGATCTGAAACTACTTTTTAATTCAAATGCATAATCTTCACTCAAATAGATTGTTATACAAAATTTGAAGCATTATCACATTACCACTCAAAAAATTCAAGAATTATGGATTAAAAAAAAAATTTCAACTGTTACAATTTATCAGACTTTTAAAAAAGTCAGCTTATATTTATGTGTTGCCTACTCAAAACTATTAATTTCTAAAAATAATGAAGAAAAAGATTGGCTTAGGCATTAGAATAAGAAGATTAGATAATTACAAAATAGAAAAAAGTTGTATGGTCTAATGAATCAACATTTAACTAATTTCATAAAGTTATAGTTTATGTAAGTAGTATACACTAGAAGAAGAATTTGATCCTTTTTGTTTAACTACTACAGTAAAGCACAGTCCTAATCAAATGTTTTGAAAATGCTTTTCATGATATAGGCTGAGACCTCTTATTCTTTTTCATAAATCTGTAATAAGATAAAGATATGCAAAAAGTATTATAAAGATATGCTATTCCATTAATTTACAAATTAGTTTCTCACAAACAAGAAATTTTTCAAGAGAATAATGCTTCATCTTATCAAGCAAAGATTGCTGCTGATGTTCATAATACTTCTAAAATTTCTATGCTACCTTATCCTGCATAAAGCTTTGATTTAAATCCTATTAAAATCTTTGAAATAAAGTTTATAAGAAAGTTTGTAACTTGTCTAATCAACCTAAAAATGTGAAAAATTTAAAACATAAGGTAAAATATGCTTAGCGTTCAATTCTATCTGAATATATTCAAAATTTGGTTAAAAGTATATTCTATCACATTTAGAGTTCTGAACGAGTCAAATTAACTCACGAGTCAGATAAGCCAAGTTGAGTTCAAATCAAGTCGAGTTTATGTTTTTTGACTCGATGATTTGTGAGTCAAACCAAATTCAAGTTGAGTTAAATATTTAACTCGACTTAATTTAAACTTGACTTGATTCGAGTTGACTCAAGTTAACTTGAATGATAAAAAAACGTTTTAAGAAGAATGATAAGAAATCATTTGACTTAAATGATAAAAAAATCGTTCAATAAGAACGATAAGAAATCATTCTAAGAAGAATGATTAGAAATTATTCAACTTGAATGATAAAAAAATCGTTCAAGAAAAATAATAAGAAATTGTTCAAGAAGAACAATAAAAAATCCATTCAAGAAGAATGATAAGAAATCGTTTGACTTAAATGATAAAAAATCATTCTAAGAAGAACGATTAGATATCGTTCAACTTGAACAATAAAAAAATCATTCAAGAAGAATAATAAGAGATTGTTTGACTTGAATGATAAAAAAATCATTCAAGAAGAATGATAAAAAATCGTTTAACTTGAATGATAAAAAATCATTCAAAAAAAATGATAAGAAATCATTTGACTTGAACGATAAAAAAATCATTCTAAGAAGAATGATTAGAAATCGTTTAAGAAGAATAATAAGAAATAATTTGACTTGAATGATAAAAAATCATTCAAGAAGAACAATAAGGAATCGTTTGACTTGAATGATAAAAAAAATTGTTCAAGAAGAATGATGATGAATCATTTGACTTGAATGATAAAAAAAATTGTTCAAGAAGAATGATGACCTAAATCGTTTGACTTAAATGATAAAAAAATCGTTCAAGAAGAACAATGACCCAAATCGTTCGACTTGAACGATAAAAAATCATTCAAAAAAAATGATAACCCAAATCGTTCGACTTGAACGATAAAAAAAATCGTTCAAAAAGAACGATGATCCAAATCATTCATTTTCTCCAGTCTTCCTACGATTTTATCATTTTTTTTTTATTATTTTTTTTTAAAATCAAATTGAGTTAAATCGAGTTGAGTCAAATTGAATCGAGTTTAAAATTTATATAACTCGAATCAAATCAAATTGAAAGATTTTATAAA